ACTAGACGATGGCCACCGAGGGGTTTTCAGTAGGTGAAATCCTACATAACCCTGCCTTCCCCCCAGAAGGCAGGGTATCTTTTGAAGATTTTCCCCCTGACACCAAAAAAAGGGCCATAGCCAATAGCTCACTGCGGGTCCTTAATATTTCTTTGTCTACTGTTCCAAATGAAATTTAATTTGTGAACAAATGTGATTTTTACAAAAATGTGCCTTTGGACGTGACCATTCTATGCCCCCCCCTCTTCACTTGATGTTTAGAGTCAACTTCGCGATTTTGGCGAATGCAGTTGGTCGTTTGTAATTTGCCATATTATGTGTTTTAAAATTCACGAAATTGTAAAGAATTGTTAATATTAGTAATTATTGTGGTAGAACTAGAAAGAGATAGATGGATTGTGTGAAAGGTGACATGATCAAAAAGGGAATGATGACTGAGATGACAGATGATATAGTTATATGGAGGACAAAAACCTATTGCGCCGACAACACGGGAGTAGGATTAGGTGGAAGATGATGATGTTGGTATTAATGTCGCCTTTTACACACTTTTGGTTTTTATTTAGAAACGAATACTTTATTCATTTTCGAAGTTAATGTTTATTACAATTATCATTCAGCGTTATTATCACGTTGTTGATATGGGCTTGTATTGTACAGAACTGGTGATGGACAATCGACCTCTTGTGGGTCCTATGGGCCAAGCGTATCTCAAATCAGATGAGTATGGTAAGATTTACCGACGAAATTGTGCCCTAACTGCATGGATATTACGTGCAAATCTCCTCGGCACATCACTCATATCATCAATGCCAGTAATGTCTTGTACAGCGGACACTATGTTCACAAGCACTGTGCAATAAACTAAAAGCACACGTTCATGTAAACACAGTTTAGTGCTAATTCCTTTTGTATCGATGTGTGTTTATTTAGAGCTCACAACAATAACACATCGCCTTTATAAAAAGCACATCAAAATATTTTTAAAAACTCCATAATCATTGTGTTTTGTTCTAGTGTGAGTTAAATGTTTTTAACTTTCCCATTCATTGGCTTGATTTAAAATTTATTCATTAAATCTAAATAACATCTAAGGCTAAATTAAATAATATTACAATTGTAATAACAGTAATTATTAATTAACAAATATTCTAATAAAACCGATAAAAGCATGCGGCTTTTGAAAAATGTAAAAAAAAAATTGACAGCATTTTTTGATATTTTATCGAAAAAGTTGCATTTGTAGTTGTGATTCATATGAACGTGTGTGTATGTGTGCGTGAGCGCAAGAACCAATCAGAACATTTGATTGTACTTCTTATTTGAATATTGTAACATGCGTTTATGTAGTCTGTATAAATCACAACTATATCTTTATTTGGCTTTCAAGTACAATAAGCACATATTATATATACATAAAAACTGTTATTTAGTTAGGTAATTTTCGCTTGAAAACTATTTTATTGAGCGATAAATGAATAGTAACTATAGCCGCAATTTAAAAATATAAATGCTGTTTAGAAAAATTGTTTACAAAATCTAAATAAATTGAAGTTAAAGTTAGTATGACTTCCACTTGCAACTTTTAAGGCATATGTTGCTTTTTGATTAATTAATTTAATTTATGTTATTTCTATTAAATTATTAATTACACTATCCTTTCCTATCTTTTTATAATTTGGAAGGGAAAGTATATTTGGCAGGGATGTATAGGAAACAAAATTAGCTTTTGTTAAATAATCGAAGTCTAACTCACTCGTAGTATTCGAGTTTACCTTAAGACGCGTGACGAAAAGAGGCTACGTAAGTCAAAAAGGTTTTAAAAACCTACATATAATGTACAAAATATTGTAGCTCTTTATGCTATATAAAAGAACGATGGCATATATTTAAGGTTGTCGCATACTAACCCCCTTTTTCTTAAAAATCAATGTTAAATGTTTTTCAACAGGTCGTATCGGTACGCCTCATTATATGGCCCCGGAGGTAGTATCCAGTCAGTTGTATGGGAAACCAGTAGATGTGTGGGCTGCGGGTATTCTCCTGCACGTGCTGCTGGTGGGCTACCTGCCCTTCACTGGAACTAGGGAACGACTCTTCGAAGCCATCTGTCGAGGAAGACTTAGAGTAAGTAGAGGAAGACATAGGCTATGTAATTTCACGCTATTTAATTTAGGGGTAAATAAAAAAAAGTAAAACGTGAGTTAAAAAAAATTACGTTTCTATAACATCAAATTTTGTTCAAATTGTATGTACAGTGTTGCAAAATAATTTGACTTTGTATATGAGTGATTTGTCGCAGTTCGACGGTCCCCTGTGGGACGACATCAGCGACGCGGGCAAGGAGTTGGTGCAGCGCATGCTGGCGGTGGACCACTCGCAGCGCATCACCATACAGGATGTGCTCAGCCATCGCTGGATACGGGTGAGATTACACTGATATTCCTGCAATTTACACTAAATTTGACAGTCTTCTGATAATCAATAGATAAAAAATGTGTTAATATTTGATTTCCATCGAAATCAACTATATTTGTCGATAATAGCGACCTCGTCCGCGCGGAATTAAAAATTTAGGAAGCAGACTATTTACTACGTTTGTGACAAGTTTCGTTAACATCCATTACGTCATTATGGAGATATAAAAACAAACATTCATCTAAAGTTTAATAAGTAATGTGTTACTCAATCAAACTGATAATATTAATATTATCTCGTAATAACTAAGAATTATATAATCTTTAATTTAGACCACATTTTGATGACTGAACTCTGATTCTCATACAATAATTAAATTTAATTTCTATAAATAATTTACTATTTTTGACCGACTACCCAAAAGGAGGTACTCAATTCGTCTGTATGTTTCTGTATGGCCAGGATCGCGATAAGCAGAACCGCATCCACTTAGCTGGTACTGTGGAGGAGCTGAAGAAGTTCAACAGCCGGCGCCGGCTGCGAGCCGCCACCCTCGCCGCTGCGGCAGTCGATGATGAGGAGGAGGAGCAGCCTGGCCGCCGGCAGGTGCTGCTGGAAGAGGCCAACGCTGCTGGTATACTTAAATTACCTTCTTATCTATAATATCGTTAAGAGGAATCATTTGCATTTTTTTTATTGAAATAACTCAAAAATTACTAGTGTGGTCGGTAATTTCGTCTTTCACCACGAAAAAGCTATGTTACTGCTGAGTAACATAGGCTTTATTTTTCATTATTTTTTAAATTACACGGACAATGTCGCGAGCAACAGCTAGTAATATTATAAAGATGAATTATATAGGTATTTTTGGATTTTTATATGAATAGAAATAACTCAAACTGACCGGCCGATTACAAAAAAACTTTAACCATCAAAAAGTTACCGCTGAGTTACATAGGCTATTTTATTTTCACGCGGGTAAAGTCGTAAATAAAGACAACTGTATCAGTAACATTAGGTTATTACTACACTAGCTGTTGCTCGTGACTTCGCCTGTATGAAAAAAAAAACTAAATTAAAAAAGTAAATAACCTTTCTAAAGGTGAAAGTCCAATAGTTTTAACGTGAATTGAATACATACAAAAATCAAAATCTCTTCTCTTTATAATACTACTCTAGAAGTACAGAGAACAATGATGTTTGTATTTGAGTTTTATTATATTAGTATAGATGTATAAATTGTATTGTACCAGCTGTGAACCTGGTGGTGGAGTCGCTGGACGACGTGGCGGTGCTGCAGGACGGGCCGCTCTTCATGGACCCTGACCTCTTCCACAGCGTGCTGGACGACCTGCAGCTCAGAGCCCTGCTGGAGGTCAGTACGCATACAGTACACGGCTCACAATATACTGGACATTGCACACCACAATCATTTAAGATATCCACTATCTTTCTGCTAAATATTAGCAATATCAAATACAGTTTTGTATCGAGTAGAGAGAATGCACATTATTTTTATCACAAGGTGGCAAACTAGTAATTGGCCACTTGAATTCGCCTAAAAGGCGAAGTGACCGCTGTCTATAGACATCTGCAATTATAGATGCGTTACATTGATAAAAGCTTTCGACGGAGGAAGGATCTATTTTCCCTTCCCATCTTTTCCTTGAAAAAAAAAAAGATATAAAGCGAAATAAAACTAAAATTAAGCCTACGGAACGCTTCAGTGTGATTCTATTCCGCTGTATTAGTGTGAAGAAATTAAAACAGGCTCTACCACTGTGATTGAATATCTACTTTATTCCTTACACATAGAGTTCATTTTCAATAGAAATGTATATAACACAGGTGTACGATCGCATCGCATGCACCGTGGTGGTGAGCAGCGGCCGCGCGCCCGCCGCCGAGGCCAGGAACAAGACGCGACAGGTGAATAAATTAGCTCGTGTTACCTTTATTATCAACAAGCTTTCGCCCGTGATTCCATCCACGTGGTATTAAAAAAAAAAACTAAGTACCCTATATGTTCTTCCAGACTATCCTCTATATCTATGCCAAATTTCATTGAGATTCTTTCAGCAGTTTATGTTACAAACTCTAACAAACATCCATCCCTCCATCCATCCATCTAAATTTTCATTTTTATAATATTAGTATGATTAGTATGATTAGTATGATAGTATGATTTACAATGAAACCCTAACAGCCGAGTACTGATACAAATGTTAAATAGTTTGTTTTGTGAACGTCTATTAGAATTGTTAGAGATTTTTTTGTGGAATTTGTAGTTTAAGACGTTACATAATTAAGGGCCTATCCCACCATTGGCTGATAGAGGCTAAGATAGCTTAAATTACGTCACTGTCAGATAAGGGAACAAAGTCCGATATTTAAATCATATTTTTTAACTGTTGGATTATTATAAGACAATTTACAAGTTGGTGGAACGGGTCTTAAATGTCGTTTTAGTGATTGTTTGTAAAATATGCAAACAGAGGCACGGTAAATTACATGTAGGTCATATTGATATTCGGCTATTTTAGCTATTTTGTGAAAACAGTGAGATAAAAGGTGATATAAAATAATGTATAGATTCAGCTGAAATATAGCGCAGAAACAGCTTAGTCCCTTTGCATATGCTAATCTGGCTATCATTTGCAACAGTTTTATACTATTTTGCCGTTAGAATAAGCAGGTGTAATATTTTTATGGTAATAAATATATGTTCTATAGCTTTCGCCCACGACTCCATCCGCGTAGAGTTAAAAACAAAGTCCATCTAAACTGGCATTTATAATGTTAGTAAGATTCTATTCCATGGGCCTGTCCCACTAAATTGTATATCTAATGTGTAAAGTATCAGATTTTGTTCCCAAATCTGACCGTGACGTATTTTTTAAGCTATCTGAGCCTCTATCAGACAGTGGTGGGACAGGCCCTTAGTGTAATATCTATACTATTATAATAAAGCGTAAACACACACTTCTTTGTTGCCTAAGATCTCAGCAATTACAGCATATTTTTGAATAACTCTTTATTTAATAAAAATCCCTACATTTACGTCACGCTTTAGGCTATATATTTTCACGCCATTAAACTTAGGAGGTAAAAATTTTGGATAAAGACCCTAATGTGGGAAAGAGACCATAAGTTGCTGCCAACATCAAGGAAGCAGGATTGCCATAGGTAATTGGTATTTTGCTGTTTGCAATTGAGAATTTAGACAAATGCAAACAATAAATTTATAATTTCATGCGGATGAAGTCGCACGCGAACAGCTAGTCTTTAATAATATTGTTGTTACGCAGGCGCTAGAAGCGGCGGCGCGAGTGCGTCCGGCGAGCGGCGCGCCCTCGCCCGCCGCCGCCGCCGCCGCCGCCGCGCACGACCTGCGCCGCGTGCTCGCCATGCCGCACATCAAGGTACATACATACATACACACACAAACAAACACTTTAATAACAACACAGATACTGAAAACTAAAACTGAAGAAAAAATTTTTTTTCGAAAAAAAAATTGAAAAAAAGATTAAAAAAAAGAACAATAGAAGACAGAAAAGCTGCGATAGGAATGCCCGAGACGGTTATTGTATATTGGACTTCAATGGAAGTGTTTTACCTTTATAAGGTTATTAGCTGTTATTGACTTTTTTTTCGTGGAAATAGTAATAAAAAATTATAGCCTTTGTATGTTACTTGGTGATGACGTATATTTTTAATGGGGAGAGAATTTTTAAAATTGGCCCAGTAGTTTTTATGCAAATCGAATACATATAAAAATACAAATCTTTCTTCTTTATAATATTAGTTTAAGTAATTAAAAACGTACAAACTTATATCATAAATGTGACCATGAAATATATTATTTTTCTGAAATAAATTACCTAACACCAAATGACATTGTTAGCCAATGAAATGTATATTTTTTAATTCTAATTTCCATTTATATTTTTTTGATAAAATGGATTATTATTGACTAGGACTTGATTGTGTGTATTATAAAATATTTGTAGTAAAAATTCGACTATTTAACACCTTTTTTTTTTTAATCTCACAAAAAATTTTCTTCACGTAGCCAATTTTAGTGCGGTTTCTTTAATTCCACAGTTGTGAAGTACGTTGCGACTATTTTTTTTTCTCATAAACCAAAAAGTTGTACATTTACAAAGTTCTAACATATTTATTCTTTCCAAACACATTTACGGTGTGTTTAATTTTTCAAATGCAGAGATACAATAGAGCTCCAACTGCGGGATACGTTGCTATGAATGGACGCTGGAATTGTATTAATAGTAAATTGAACCAATCTCGTCACGCGAATTGCGACTTTATTACAACGTAATACGAAATATCGACTTATTTTAAGCTTCATGAAATATTTATAAGTTCCCCGCAGAATCAGTCGGACGGTCCCCAGGTAAAACTCCTTTCTTACCAACCTATGGAATATAAATAGACATATGGGTTCCAATTACTTAATATTAAAACTTGCAGTACGAGTAGTAGGTTTTTTGATTTCTAAAAAATAACTATATTTTTTGACACTGTGACGAATCGTCATATATCATAGATATGTAACACCACACTGTTCTCCGTAGTTTATTATTTATTAGCTTTCGTCGCAGACTCCGTCCGTGTAGAATTAAAAAAAAACCTTTTTCTTCCAGACTATCCTTTACATCTATGCCAAATTTTATCGAGATTTATTATCCTTTTAGATTTAGGCTACAAACTCTTACAAATATCGATCCATCTAAACTTTCGCATATATAATATTAGTAACTGGTTAAGATTGCATTTAGCAAGCTTAAGCGGAACAATGTTTTCATTACTAATGATTTGTTAAAAATCCGCGACGAGCCCTTTCAAGTTAAGAGGGTTGATCATTTTTAAAAAAAATAGATGTTGCGTCATTTTTTTTTAAAGTTTGTAATTGACTCACTGTCTATATTTTTTTGGTAATCATTAAAGGGTTGATTTTTTAAGCTAAAAAAAATTATAATTTTTTTTATTAAAGCGTTAACTTTAAGCTAAAAAATAATTGACGCACTGTCTATTTTTTTGTAATCTAATAATTTTCTTGTCTCAAATAATACTTTAAATTATTGACTAAAAGTCAAAAATATTTCAGTAGTAAAATTTCAGTTCATTCAATTAATTTAGTTTATTCTTAATTTAAGATTGCATTTTAATCGAGGTTATGCGGCTATAGGGCAGGGCGTGTGGTGACGCGATAAACGACCTTAATTCGAGTTAGGTACCCTCAGTTGTTTGCGTAGGTCTTGTTAACTGCGCCGTGAGAGACTGCCGTGTTCGTTGTAAATTAAGGCCCCACCTTAATCTTGTTTCCCTTGAATAAATCTAGGATGCTACGAAACTACAAGTATAAACAAATTTATATCGCACATGAGTCGGCAAAAAAGAGATAAGCACATACAGATGTGCTGTTTTTTGCTGACTTCACCTAAATAAAAGTTGGTGTCGTATTTTATAAAGAAAGCAAGCTTCATTTTCTTACTTTATCATGTAATGCGAAAGTCTATATATCTATATATAGATGGGTAGTTTGTCATTACGTATTAACAGCTAAAGATGTAGAAATGGAATCTGGAAGAACACTTAGGTCACTAATTAATTTTTATTAAATTCCGGATGAACAGTGTCGCAGGCAAAAGCTAGTTTGTTATAATAAATGCTTTTGTCGTCAGGAGAGTTAAATGTAGAGTAAAATTAGCCTTTGCAGTATTTAAATTGGACTAATAGTTTAGAAGATATCAAACAACAAAGGTAACCGAAAAATCAGCGCACAAACTAACGATCTTAAAAATTTTGAATCTTGTATAAGTAGATTTCTGTTATTATGTAGATTACTACTAAGTTAATACTTTAGGTAATAGGTTTAAAAAGGGACGAACGTAAGTTTTGAACTTGTTAAACTCCACGCGGACGAAGTCGTGGGCAACAGCTAGCTTGTCAAAAGATGAACACCCGATTAAGTTAAGAGGCATATAAGGTAGTTTTTACCGATGTCTTTATAATTACTAATTGCTTCATACAGGTTGTAAATTATTAATGAAATGAGAATAAAAATTCAAAAGTACAAATTTAAAATTTATGAAATCTCTTTAGAGATATTTAGGAACATTGTAACTTTTTTACTTACGTTGTCAGCTCCAGTTAGGGAAAGTTGCGAAATTCGGCGATGTTTTTTCGCCTCTCATTATTCTGTTGTTGAGCTCCAGTAAGACGGTCGGTTTATTAAATTATTTTTACACAGACGTTGGCTCTTTGCTTGAACAAAATAAGAGGTAGAACTTGACGCTGATTTTTTTCAAGGCCGTTCTTTATTTAGGCGTTTCTGTGGGTTGCGTATTGCATATTATAATTTTGAATTTGTAAATATGGAAAGCACAAGCATAGTTAATTTTAAACATCTAAGATATTGGAAATAGAAAAATGTAGTAGACTGAAAGTTAACCAAAATATCTTTTATTATTGAATTTTGTCTTTGAATATGGCAAACATAGTCTACACTTCTATACTAATGTTATAAAGTGGTAAGGTTTGTATTTTTTGTTTCTTTGAATGTATTGGAATAACTCAAAAACAACTCGGTCGATTTCATAATTCCTTTACCGTTAGAAAGGTAATTTATCTGTGAGTAACATAGGCTGTATCTTTAATTTTTTTTTAAATTTCACGGAGACGAAGTCGCGAGCAACAGCTAGTAATAATTAATTTGCAACATTTATGAATACTCGTTTCTGTTGTGATGTATGGTTTAATTAAAACTGAATTTAATACTTAAAATGTAACAGTTTGAACAGTGTTAATTGTCGGGCGTTAACTAATGTTTGTCGGGTCTTTGTGAATGCTGTGCGCTTCATTTGTCATTGTACTGCAACTCTGTCTTTGTTTTAACGGTGTTAAGTGTTACTGGTCAGTGTTTTATTTTTTTTTAATATATATTATTAAACCAGCTGTTTCCGTGCTTCGTGTGTGACATTATTAAAAAATATTTACATTCCGAATTTCAATTGCATATATTAACGTAAAGTAATAACTAGCTTTTGCCCGCAACTCCGTCCGCGTGAAATTTAAAGATAATGATAAAGAAATTAAAAATATAGCTTATGATACTCGCAGATAAATTACCTTTCTAACGGTGAAAGAATTTTTAAAAACCGGCCAGTAGTTTTTGAGCCTATTTATTACAATCAAACAAACAAAGTTTTCCTCTTTATAATATTAGTATAGACAATACAATTAACATATGTTATCTTAATTGTGTTTGTGTGGATGCTGTCTATATGTGACATATCTCAAGTTTGCAAAAAAATTGTTGTTCAGAATGTTTGGAAGTATTTGAGGTCTGATTTCTTTGTGTTTCAAAGTTCTCTATATAAACCTAGACGATAAATTGTCGACGGAATTAAACTGCTTATTGACACACCCGTATCCACAACGAGAGGGCGCGTCAAGGGAACATAGCATGTTGTAACATCGTTTACTTAAGCTACATTTCAACCACAATTCAGAATATACCAGAATATAAGTTCTCGTTCTAACTACATATTTCTATACATGAACACGCTTTATACGTCTTTAAGAATTCAAATGTATCTATTTAAAAATATATATTAGTAGATTTTTGTTACTCTATACTATTATAATAAAGCGCAAACACACACTTCTTTGTTGCCTAAGATTTCAGCAATTACAGTATATTTTTGAATAATTCTTCTTTTAATAAAAAGCCCTACACTTACGTCACGCTTTAGGCTATATATTTACACGCCATCAAACTTAGGGATAAACATTTTGGATAAAGACCCTAATGTGGAAAAGAGACCATAAGTTGTTGCCAACAACAAGGAAGCAAGATTGCAAACGTTTGTCATGTCATGTCATTTTGACATTTGCAATTGAGAATTTGACAGATGGAAACAATAAAATATAGTTTTTATAATTTCATGCGGATGAAGTCGCAAGGGAACAGCTAGTTTACTAATATTTCTTTTAACCATTCCAACTAAACTCTAGGCTAGTGCTAGGATATAGTTCGCGACAAGTCGTGTTGCGGGATTCGAAACCTCTTCCGCAATATCATTATCTATACAAACTATTTGCGCTTAATATATTGGAAAAATGTTTTACCTATAAATGTGTAAAGCACTCTATTTCAGTTCAATATAAATCTATATGTCCATGTGATTTATGCATAACTCGTATCTCTTCATTTACATGTTTGTAGGGCCACTAAAATCTGCCCGTCTCCGACAGGTTTTCGCTCTTTCCATGATACGTTTTGGACTATAAACGTCTTTCGCTAAAATATGTAAATGAAAAAGGTATATGGCATTTTCTCGACCGTTATAGCAATTTACTTTTTATTACTTAGTTTATGTACCTTTGTTATTGT